TTATGTCATTATTTTAATCTTACACTGACTGTTTGCTGCTTCTGTCCAGATTGTTGTATAGGGTAAATTTAGTATAAGGTGTGGAAATTGTAAAGCTGTGGGATTTTTTTATAGAAGATATCTAGATTGTTACGAGATTGTTATCTAGGATTTTCACATTGTAGGCTTCATTTTATGTACTGGTTTTAATGTTGAATAGATATTTCTAAAATTGTATGATGTTTTTGTTGAGTTATTGTTACACAATTCTTTTCCTGACCTTTTTCAACCTTGCCCCTGACAAATAACCCAAACTACAAAAAAAAGACTAAAACTAACACTAAAACTAATAAAAACTAAACTAAAACTAAGCATTTTCAAAAAATAGAAACTAAACTAAACTAGCAAACCCACTTTTAAAACTAATTAAAACTAAACTGAATTTGAAAACAAAAATTCAAAACGAAATAAAAATAAAAACTAATGAAAAATGCAAAACTATAATAACCTTGCTAACTTCATAAGAAAAGCATATACATATATATTCATTCCCAGCTAATGACTCCAATCCCACACTTGGCAATTCCAGTCAGCTTTATTCCATAATCTCCCATTTCCCTGGTGTAGATCTATCAGCTGCGTCCGTCCCCTTTCCACAACAGGCTTCCCTCAAATGAGCTATTTATGTAAAACTCTTAAAAATCAATTTCTTCAGAGACAGTCTCCAACTTTGTGGTTTGACAATGAGAGTGTGTCTTTATACTAGCATGTCTATGTGCATCTAACGCCTGTGTGTATGTGTCCTCCAGACTATTTTTAAACATCCGTGGCAAGCTTAATCCATCTTGTGTGATGAGGCGGCCCAGCAGATCTGAATATTACAGTAACCATATTTTAACAAGACTCTGGAGTATTCACATAAGCATTAAATACATCGCAGGGCCGCGGTGTCGGAGGGGGGTTCTCTCGTTTGACATTCTGATTCTGTAAACCTCCAGAGGAGCCTAAATCACACACAGTTTCGGGTTGTGGAAAGCGGTTGCAGTTGCCTCCCGGTCACCTGAATAAAGGCCTCTAAAAATGGCTTTTAGTTCAAGTGGGAGACATTGTCAGTGAAACTTATCCTTATTCCTATCGTGCTTTACTATTATGCGTAAAGTATCTTTTTGAAAATGTAGGGTGAGTGAGGATCCAACACTATTTAATAAAAGCCATTTTTCAAATTCCACCATTAAGTATGATAGAAAAGATTAGGTGAATTCACTAATGATAAATTGTGTCTGCTGATGGCTCTGTTTATTTGCATGCACTCTCTGCATTGTTTTATTGTCTGTTTCACTAAAATAATTATGCAAATCTAGTAACAGCATAATGTGGCAATTTATACAGCACAATTATTACTAAAAAACTATTCATGTTCATGAACACCAGTGTCCAGGCTGTGATCAATATTTTGTTCCTTTTTTGTGTCACTGTCCACTATATCTTTTGAATAAAAAAAGAGGCAAAACTCTCCCCAAAAATTAAAGAAAAAGTTGCAAAAGTTTTATAAGAAAAAAAAAAATTCATAAACTCAAAATAAAGGAGAGACCCTAGTCATATCTAGAGATGGAAATATCATTGAAACTTAAGTGTGGGATTTTTTATTTGGTCCTGCAATAACACCCTAGCAACCACCCTGAAGGCCCTAGCAACTGCATTACAATATCCTGGCAACTATCCACAACACTCCAGCATCACAACAGTGACTGTTGCTTAGCAATCAAAACTCACATGTTCTTCAGCCACTAGCAGCACCAAAAACAACTTACAAAAACCATAGACTGTAAAAAAGATGGACAATGCACTTTTCTACAATGGACAATCTTCCATTGTAGAAAAGTAAAGCTGCCAATGTCCCAATATCCCACTGATATCTTGCAGTGATTCAGGACCCAAGTCTGCGCAATAGTGAACTTGGGATGCAAGTCTGCACAGTAGTGAACTCTGAACCGCGCAGTAGTGAACTCGGGACCCGAGTCCGAGCAGTAAGGGAACTCGGAACCGTGCAGGAGTGAACTCGGGACCCGAGTCCGAGCAGTAAGGGAACTCGGAACCGTGCAGGAGTGAACTCGGGACCCGAGTTTGAGCAGTAAGGGAACTCAAAACCGTCCAGGAATGAACTAGGGACCTGAGTCCGAGCAGTAAGGGAACTCGGAACCGTGCAGGAGTGAACTCGGGACCTGAGTCCGAGCAGTAAGGGAACTTGGAACCGTGCAGGAGTGAACTCGGGACCCGAGTTTGAGCAGTAAGGGAACTTGGAACCGTGCAGGAGTGAACTCGGGACCCAAGTTTGAGCAGTAAGGGAACTCGGAACCGTGCAGGAGTGAACTCGGGACCCGAGTCTGAGCAGTAAGGGAACTCGGAACCGTGCAGGAGTGAACTCGGGACCCGAGTTTGAGCAGTAAGGGAACTTGGAACCGTGCAGGAGTGAACTCGGGACCTGAGTCCGAGCAGTAAGGGAACTCGGAACCGTGCAGGAGTGAACTCGGGACCCAAGTTTGAGCAGTAAGGGAACTCGGAACCGTGCAGGAGTGAACTCAGGACCCAAGTCTGAGCAGTAAGGGAACTCGGAACCGTGCAGGAATGAACTAGGGACCTGAGTCCGAGCAGTAAGGGAACTCGGAACCGTGCAGGAGTGAACTCGGGACCTGAGTCCGAGCAGTAAGGGAACTTGGAACCGTGCAGGAGTGAACTCGGGACCCGAGTTTGAGCAGTAAGGGAACTCGAAACCATGCAGGAGTGAACTCGGGACCCGAGTCTGCGGAGTAGTGAACTCGGAACCGAGTCTGCGCAGTAGAGAACTCGAAACACAAGTCTGCACAGTAGTGATCTCGGAACCCAAGTCTGTGGAGTAGAGAACTCGAAACACAAGTCTGCACAGTAGTGAACTCGGAACCCGAGTCTGCGGTGTAGTGAACTCGTAACCGAGTCTGCACAGTAGAGAACTCAAAACAAAAGTCTGCAGAGTAGTGAACTCGGAACCGAGTCGGCGCACTAGTGAACTCGAAACACAAGTCTGCACAGTAGTGAACTCGGAACCCGAGTCTGCGGTGTAGTGAACTCGTAACCGAGTCTGCACAGTAGAGAACTCAAAACAAAAGTCTGCGGAGTAGTGAACTCGGAACTCGAGTCTATGCAGGAGTGAACTCGGAATGCGTGAACACTCCCACACCCTCACTCCTGCAGCATCGGTTAGTAAAGGTTTACTGCAGAACAAATTATTATGTCAGTGTAAAATATACAGTTATGGAAATTTTGAAATTAAAGTTAAAGCTCCAATCTCCTCCCAAAAAAGTCTGTTGGTGCCTCAGTGACTACTTTGCTCAGAGAAGCTGTCAATCTCAGCAATCAATCAAGTGTAATTTCATTCACAACAAATTCCATAGCCAGATATCCACCTCCAAGTGTTCTGATTGGCTAAGAATCTCTGATGTCTGTCAAGTAGTAGTATGTAGTTGTGATAGATTGTGGTAACCACCTTTCTCAGAAAAACTGCCCTGACTCCAGAAAAGGGAGTCTCACTGACCGAGAGTGTGCATTGCAGAGTGACATCAGTATTTCTTTGCAGTTGAGGTGCCGTTTTGAACACAAGCGCTGCGTCCAGTGCCAAACTCCCTCATTCGCAACAGGCCCATTGGAATGACGAGAAAAGGAAAATGTCGAGGCCTCAGCTCTAGAAGATGTAAGTACAGCTCTTCCTTTCTGAAAAAAGGGAAAGACGGCCACAAATTTACCTGATGCGCTCCTCTGACAGAAATGCTTGATACATGTCAGTCTGAGACCCAGGTAAATGATCTCCTGTGCAGTCTTGTTTGTCTTGAAGCCTAAGCTCTCCAAATGAGGCAAACCTGAGGAATTTTCTATGTGCCGATTAGATGATTATGTGAAAACATGCATCCTTCAGATGGACTGATGTAAGACAGTCTTTAGGATGAATAAATTGTAAATCTTTAACGTCAACATTTTAAACATGTATTTTCTGAGGTGTTTGTTGAGGTTGTGTAAATCCTAAATAGGGTGGAAACCACCCCTCTTTTGGGAATGACAAAGTACTGGGAGTAAAAGACGTGATGGCTGTCCTCAGACGGCAAAACCTAAATTACTCTTTTGCTCAATAATTTCTTCCTCTAAAATTTGAGCTGGCTCAAATTCTGCTGCTAACAATAACACTGTTGAAAAGTGAAGGTACAGTAAACTGTAGACTATAACCCTGTGTTATTGTGGATAACACCCAAGGGTGTTAAATGAGGGTTCTTCACGCCCGCATTCACCGCTGGGCTGGCGGGAGCCTAGGGTTGACTGTCCCACACTTGGGTTGAGTACTGGGCTTCCTGGGGAATTATCAAAAGCCTCTTAATATTTCTTGCAAAGGTCACACTGCTGTCACATATTTGTCAAAGCAGCCCCGAAAAGAGCTTTCGGCTCCACTGGAGCATCAAGGAACTCCGCCTTCTCCCTTTCTGACAGGCTTGATAATCCCAACCACAGCGCTCTTTCACCCACCACTGCCAAGCCCATGGTTGAGATCTGCAATGACGCAGATCTATTCCCACAATAGTGAATCAGGAGACCACTGCTGTGAGCAGTGAGGTGGCGTTTAAAGCTCTGACAGCCAGGGCAGATGAGTGGTAGATTTTTCAAAACCGGGAAGTCCATCCTGGGAGTGAAAGAGAGACGGAGGATAGGACTGCCCGGCGATTGGTGTGGATCCCCAGCTCCTCCATATTGAGTCCATCCAGCCTAGAGGAACCTTTAACAGGTACACTATGAGACAAAGGCTTGTCCCAAAAACGGCATGCTGGGACGAAGCATGCTTGGCTTGGGAAGTGCATGACAGCAGCCTCTTCCCATCATATAAATATCCCTTTCTGTGCCCTGGCCTTCCTGTTGTGATGACCAGTCGATAAAGTGTTAAGCAGCTGCTCTCCTACACATTTCAATAAGTTCCCAGTCTCCCGGTATGGGTTAATGTGACTCACCTGTTGCACTGCTAGGCGTGGAAGAGAGTTTACGAGGGAGAATTGGGCCCTCTTCATCTTCTTCCAAGAAATGAACATTTTTCTCATCATCTTCCTCCTCCTCCTCTTTATCCCAGCCAAGGGGTATGATTCAAAGAGAGGGGGAAGATTCTCCCCAGCTATACTGGGTTTGCTGAGCAGGCCCGTCTTTCTCTGCTAGTGGCGCAGAAAACGTAGATTCGCGGCCATAACTCGCATTCTGCTCTCTAACACCCTTAATGGGAAAACGGCCTGTGTGTCTCCCAGATACGCAATACAAAGAGGATGAGGGTCATTGAATGAAATCATAGACCCACAAGTGCACAGACGAGAGGGATCTTTACCCTTACCTGCGCTGCTGAGTGGGTTCTCAGTCGCATAACAGATATGCGAACACAGAGATGGTAACTTCATCACACCACTCAACGAGGGGAAAAAGGAAAAATGAACTGTAACGGCTTGAGATATGAAAAATGAGAACTCGCCTCGACACACTAGTTCCCATCAGAAAAGACTGAAGAAGAAAAATATTCACTTTGACAGTGAATATTCCCTCAGAAGACTAAGGAAAAAATAGCCGTGTTCGGAGACGTACCTATACTGTATACACAGGCTTGTCAAGTGAACTGTCAAGCGGCCACTGCCTGCTGCTCTGCTGAGGATAGCTTGCCAATAAGGATCTTCATGGGGAAGAGAAAGAGAATGAAGTTGGCACCATTCACAGTGATATATATTTGAGGGAGGCGGGACTCCCGCATAACTGTTGTGATTGGTCTGTCAGCTGAAAGAATTGGTGAAATTGGTTCTTCCAGGATCAGTCACGCCCGAGGCGCTCCCATAGTGAGATACCGAGCGAATGTTAGAAAGATAATTAATTATTATAACGTGGCCACAATTTAGTAAAACAAGAGAAACGTGCACACGATTTAGTTAAAATGACGGAACAAATGTGAAACGAGCAGACGTATTAGTAAAACTTGGGAACGAATTGTTAATTGTTAATTGCCAATAGCTCTAAAGCCAATAGCTATATGGAACAAACCAAAATGTATGTTCTTCTCCTCTAAAACTACATATTTTAATGGAGGTATCTCAATTCGTTGAATAAGCAAAAAATACATAAATAAAAATAAACAAATAACAACATACAGTTTTTGGAACAACAAAAAAGAAAGTAAATAATTTTCATATTTGGGTGAACTTTAACCCACTTGTAAAAGGTGTGTGCATTAGGGATAAAATATTAAATATTAAAAAGTGTCTCAGACCGGATCACATGATCTGTGGAAGAATTCGATAAAATGAGATTCTCTTTTGTTGGTTCTTGTCCTGATAATTGCAGGACTGAGAATTGTTTGACTCAGGGCGGAAGGCAGATGTCTGCAGTCATTGTCACACATTAACAAAGGAACGCTGATCTGCTGTCTGAAAAACTGCTCCTAAAATCTGTCTCGAGATTTGAAATAGAAGAGAGGGAGAGAATCAGGGACGTGCACAGATAGACCCCAAGTGACAGGCAGGTAACGATAGTGTCAAAATAAAGCCAGGGCTGCCGATATTGATTCAATTATCGATTAATTTGGATAAATAGTATGTACAGATGTTTTTTCACAAGAAAAAATATATCTCACCTACTGATGTCAACGTACAGAGAGCTGTCAGCTGGTATTATTATTAAAGGTTAAAAATAACAACTCAAAATAAATCGGCTTATAAAATAAGTTTTTTTTTATTATAATTAATGTATAATATTTTAAAGATATAGGCTACATGTAAACATAAAATGTAATATAGTAGCCTACACATATTAAGCAAAATACTCCGTGTAGCTAATTTTTCTACCCAACAAACTTGGTATATATGGTCATTAAATGGCTTCCCTGAGGTAAATTTAACGTTATTGTTCTCCAACTGTTTTCTTGACCTCTTTTCGAAGTTGAAAAACACTGCTTGTTCATTCGTGTTTATTGGCTAATACATATGGGGTTAGAATTCGATCACAATTCTGCGCGCGCGAGATCACATTTTGAGCACGCAAAAGGGCATTTTGCAAGCACGTGAACTGAGTTTTGCGGAGAAATGTTCGTCTCACAGATAAGAAAATATTTCGAGCGAATGAAAATCAATTTTGCATTTAAAATAAGTATTTGGATGTGCACAGACATTCTCTTTCGCATGTGCAAAGTTTCACTTTCTTGCTCCTTTCATACCAACCATAAGCGCTCTCGAAGCACAGACGGCTCGCGTGCTCAACACAACCCAGCGTTACAATCATAAACTGTAAAAAATATGGACAAAGCGTCTGTGACGTCACCCATAGACTCTCTGAAGAACGGGTTTGAGGCTATTTATGGGGGGTAAGGGCAGCGCCATACTGGAAAATCTTGGGAAATTCGAAATACAAAAGTTTCAGAAAGGATATAGAGGTGGTATGATGTGTTGTGTCAGATCATGGCCGAGACGTCAAATTCACTCGGCGCAGCCCGTTATCAGCTGTCAATCAAAGTTAACCACCCTTATTTGTCATACATTTTATATTTAAATATGATCTAAACTAACGAGTTAGAAAAAAATTCACCCCCCTCACAGTTGTCAGGCACGCAGAACATATTGAAGATTACAATAAAAGTCCATGGGACCAAACTGTAAACATATGAATTTATGCTGTGAAAACGGAGATTTTAACATGACGTCTGGATATTTGCTCCCTTTTGGGAACGGCCTCTAGCGGATTTGAGTTGTATTGCGGTATTTCGCACTTCCGGGTAGGCTTCATGTTTCAGATTAGAATGTTGCCGCTTGGTTACAATATGCCATAATTCCAGCCAATCAGAGATGAAGCTGCTAAATTGTGATTGGCTGGCTTGAAAACCAATCACAAGACTCCCTGCATCACCGACTGTGATACAGTACATGGTGGATATGTATGTTTAATTTGTTTAATGGATTGAACACAATTTAAGTTAAAGTAAACAAAAACATTCACAGCATGTTCTGTAAAAACAACTATCATACTAAAAAATATACGGTACGGTTTTCTTATATACTATTTTAGGATGGATATTTGTGCACAGGCTTTTTTCTCACTGCAAAAAGAAAGGCATGTGGGTAACAATACAAACATATATGCAAATATAAAAGTAAGTGAAAACCTTGGGTGTGTGTAAATGTCGGTGGGTGCGTAGCCCTGGAGAGAATGATAAAAGCTTCATAATTCCATAGACATCTCATGTGTTACTTTCCCCTCTCTGACATCTTCTGATTTTGTATATCTGAGCCACCAGCCTGCTTACATTTTTAGACCTCGCTCTGTAAATCCTGAGCCAAAATGCATCACAACTTCATCTCCGCTCCTACCGCTTTGTGGTATTGTGTTCCTGTGATTTGAGAGAGTCGTATTTGACCTATATGAACTTACGCCCCCATAACGCCTACCCTCCAAGTTGAGACCTACATTATAACCGTGAATGTGAATCACAAAGCTCATGCAGACAAACCGTTCTGGATTTAAGCTCTTAAAGAGGCAATCATGCTGCCAATCAGGATTTCGTCTGACACAGTAACATTGTGTTGAAATACTCACAAACATATCGATAAACACTTCACATATTATTCAGATTGTTGGTGTTTTTCAAAGATTTTTGTAGGGTTTTATTCAATACAAGCAGGATGCGAATTACACAATGGCCAGAGAGTTCTGGGGGGTGCATATACACATAATAATATATAGGCTACACTCACATGGGTGAGTGTATATATGAAGAGTTCAGATGCAAAAGCCTCTAAATGCCATTTGAAATTTTCTTCTAGAATGGTCATTTTTATCAAGCTTGTATATTTAAGTTCAGTAATTTCACTTAAATGGCAATTAATAGGTAATCTTCATTGCTATTTAAGTGAAATTACTGAACTTAAATATACAAGCTTGATAAAAATGATCATTTTAGAAGAAAATTTCAAATGGCACTTAGAGGCTTTTGCATCTGAACTCTTCATATGCACTGAGCTAATGTGCTAATAAACAAATTTTGTAGCCATCATGCTAAAGGGCTAATTAGTTACCATCATCACAAATAAACCAACTATTATTTGTTAAAACTCCATTGCAGTTTTAAACATAGTATGTTCAAAAGCAAGCCTGCAGTGGTATAGTTATATTTTGAACAGCTCATAAGCAATTTCATTTTTGCGACTTGCGAGCAAACAGCTTCTATCTAAATCTAAAATTAAAACAA